GAGGTTGCTGTGAGCTGTGATGCCACGCACTCTACCGAGGATGATAGCTTAAGGCTCAAAAAAAAAAAGTGACAGAGTCTCACTGTGTCGTCCTCGGTGGAGTGCGGTGACATCACAGCTCACAGCAACCTCAAACTCTTGGGCTTAAGCGATTCTCTTGCCTCAGCCCCCCTACAGGCGCCCGCCACAACGCCCGGCTATTTCTTTTGTTGTTGTAATTGCGTTGTTGTTTGGCAGACCCGGGCTGGGTTCGAACCCTCCAGCTCCGGTGTATGTGTTACAGGCGCCGGGCCTGGCCTGGGGTTTTGAGTGGGATGGGAAGGGGGAACGCTGAGCTCAGGAGCCTGGATCCTGGGCTGCTGGGGTCCGGAACAGGTGTTTGACGGGATTCCGGTAGGAAGGAAGAGACCGGAGGACGGGAGCGAGACTATGAGGGGCCCCCGTCTGTCCCTCCTCCTGGGAAACTCTGACCCTTCCCAGTAGTGCTGCAGGCCAGCGCAGCAGGGGGACGAGCCACCGATAAGGCGGTGGGGTGGACCATGAGCCCTCAGAGGCTGGACGACCCCCAACCGGTGGAAACGCATGCCCTCCCACAGCGCGCGAGGGCCACACTTTGCCCTCGGTCCCTGGAGGCCTCCTGGCCACGCCCCCGTGGGCGGGGCGGGGGCGGGGCGCATGGGCTTGTCCTGCCGGTTCCTCAGCGTTCCGCGGCGGCGGCGGCGGCGGTGGCGAAAGCGACATGGAGAGCGGGGCCTATGGCGCGGCCAAGGCGGGCGGCTCCTTCGACCTGTGGCGTTTCCTGACGCAGCCGCAGGTGGTGGTGCGCGCCGTGTGCATGGTGAGCCCCAGGGGAAGGCTGGGCCGGCTGGGACACAATCGCGCCGGGCCCTGCGGGAACGGCGAGCGTGCGGGCCCGCGGCCGCGACAGGTGGCTCCGGCCGCGCGTCCCGGGCCTGGCATTGGAGTGAAGCCGACGTCTGGCGTCCCACCCCGCCTTTCCTCCCTTCCCGTTCTGGGTCGCGCTGTCCCTTCTCGGCTCCGGCTCCCGCCACCTACCCCACTCCCTGGCCCTGGCCCCGGCCCCAGCCCCGCCGCCCTGCGCAGGGTATCGGGAGGCGCACCCAGGAGCAGGCCCTAGCCCCTCTGACAGCGGGAGAAGCCTGGGGGCTGCTCTTGGACAGGTGGCCCGCATGCTGCGGTTCCTTGTTGGGAGATTCACCAGGAAGGGGCTTTCCGAAGCCACGTGGGGTGCGTCCTCGCACCCTGAAACTAGGTCTCCTTCCTATTCAGGAGCAAGCCACCCACGATTGAGTGTCCCCAAGGCGTACCCCTCCCCATAAGCTGGCCGAGAGCTCCAACACTAGATTGGGGAGTGGGTCCACGTTTGGACAACCAGCGCTGGAAGCTGGAGGTGTCAGAGGGTGCTCCTGCAGTGCCCAGACCGTACTTGGGCCCAGAGCCTTTGAGGTGTCCCCTCCCAGCCTGGCCGTTGGGGTCTAACAGCCTCTGTCTTGGGCTGTGCCCAAGGAACAGATGCCCAGTGGGTCGGGACGGCAGTGCCAGGAGTCTTGGATGGTCAGCCGGCTCCCAGCATTGCGGAGTTCCGGCTTCAGTTCCTACGGGGTGGGGGTGGGGATTGGGACTGTCTGCTCCAGTCTCAGTGAGAGCTGCCTGTGTGACAGGGGCAGGACCTGCCAGGGGAGAGGCCCAGGGCCCTCTTGCAACTGATGAGGTGGGGTAGGCATAGGTGTTGGCCTTAAAGTCTGGGGAGGTGGCATGGGCTGTTCCTAAGGGGTGGAACCTCTCTGGGGAGCTCTGGCTGGTGGATAGGCTGTACCCTGGGTCCTCCAGGGGTCTGAGTTAAGAGTTGTGTCCATAGGCTCGGCGCCTATAGCTCAACCGGCTAAGGCGCCAGCCACGTACACCTAAGGTGGCGGGTTCGAATCCCCAGCCCAGACCCGCCAAACAATG